ACGTAAATACACTCACACACATACACTCACAAACACACACATTCACACACAGACACTCACACATAGACACACATACATTCACACACAAGCTCACACACACTCCCAATACACTCCCAAGTACACTCAGGCACACACACTCACAAACACACACATTCACACACACATACACTCACACACGGACAAACATGCATTCACACACAAGCTCATAAACACACATACATATACTCACAACCATAACACTCACATACACTCACACACACACACACACACACACACACAGAGTGCACCTCGCCCAGAATCCACCTGGGGAAATCTCTCCGGTGGCGGTGCCTATACTTGACCCGCCTGAGACCCCGGGTTTGATCCTGGCACACTTGGCATAGCCCTGGGGGCCCCAGGACTGACCTGGGTCTTGGGGTTCGGAAGATCCGGTCACCCCGTATCTCAGAGCCTCCCTGGTGCCGGGCGCTCACCTCCCGATCCCCTCCCAGGACCCCGACACTCCTTTCAAGGCAGCACCCGCTAGCAGGGCACCCCAGGATGGCCGCGGCTCTGCTGACGTCACCCTCGCGGTCACACCTGCCGGACAGCAGGACAGAGCCTGTGGGCCTGAGACCACTCAGAGAAGGCAGCCGGCTGCCCCAGGGGGCCGGCCTGGGAGGGGGCATGGGCGCCAGCCCCCAGGGCCCTGAGGGGTGCCGAGAGCCCTCCCCGAGGGTAGAAGGACCCGGGGGCGCCCGCCCTGTCTAGAGCGGGGTTTGTGGGAGACCCAGGCGTTTCTGGGCGCCTGCCGCGGAGCAGCCTGGGCGGGTGGGGCGGGGAGGCAGCAGCTGCAGGGGTGAGAGGTGAGGCCTCCTGGAGGGAGGAGGGCAGAGGTGAGCCGGGGCAGGTCTCTGGGCTGCAGTCTAGGGAGCACGCGCTCCAGCCTGGGGCTCCCACGACCGACCGCACGTGTGGGCCTGGGGGGCCGGGGGGGGGTCGCAGGCAGCCGCCAAGGGCCCAGACCTGCCTCGGTGACTGTGCGTGAATCAGACGTTGAACCTCGCCAGGGGCTCCTGGCCGCGCCCGAGTCCCAGCAGCCGGGGCCGTGACTATGGAAAGTTCCAGTCTGGGCAGAGGAGCCTGCCGGAGACATGGGGGTCAGGGCGGGCGTGGGGGCTGCCCGCGCCACCCCGAGAGGTGGGAGCGGCTTGATTGTCAGGGTGCACCCGGGGGGCTGCCTGCTGAGTCCTGAGCTGGGGGCACCCCACGGGGTGCTGGCACACCCCCCCGGGCCCTGGGCTCCAGCACTGCGGCTGTGGGAGGCCTGGGCAGTCACCCAGCTATGCCCCTCCCCATCTGTGCTATCCCCCAGCCCCCCAGGACCCTCCAGACAGGCTCCTCGTGTGGGAGACGCATGGGGGTCCCCCCAGCCCCCCTCACCACGGCTTCCTCCCATGGCAGGAGGCGGAACCGTGCTCTGGTGGGCAGCGGAGGGGGCCAGGTTCTGGGTGCCCCTTGTGCCCACCCTGTGGAGGCTGCCCTGAACACACCAGGATCCCCCCCTTGAGGTTCTGAAGCTGTGCCCGGGCCCCCGGGGCTGCTTGTCGAAGGCCTGGCACCATCAAGGCCATCCCAAGCTCCCATGGGCAGGACACAGTGGACACAGCAGGGGCCTGGGCACAGTGGACACAGAGGGGACCCAGGTGTGGGTTTGCTAACCCGAGCCCCCGGGGTGCCATGTTGCCATGGTGCCCAGAGCCGCACCCACCGGGTCTCCCTGAGGAACCGCCGCTGATGTCGGTTACTCTTTGATCTCAGGAACTGTTTTCCATTCGGCTATTCTGTTCCCGCATGCGCCCCTTGCCCACCTTCGTCCTGGTCAGCAAACGTCTGTGGGTCCCGGGCCTGCTCCCTGCCACCCCCTTCACCACAGTGAACATGTTCTGTGTCCGGTTGATCCGTGGCAGCTGCCCTGCCCTGCTCTTTCAGGGACCCTCTGGAGCCGGGCCCCTCTCACTGGTTGAGCCGAGGCAGCATCAGGCGTGCCAGCCTCACTCGCAGCTTGGCCCCCCGCCAGCGGCTGGTCCCTCTTCTAGGCCACCAGGTGACGGTCCTTCCTCGCCCCCGAGGGCTCTTGCTTGCGGGGGCTGCACCTGGGGCGCCCCCAGCTTTGGTCCCTCCTTCTGGGGGGGGCTGCTTTCTGCACGGGGGTGTGTGCAGTTCCCTGGGGCACTGCTTTCTGCACGGGGGTGTGTGCGGTTCCCTGGGTGCTGTTTTCTGCACTGGGGTGTGTGCAGTTCCCTGGGGCACTGCTTTCTGCACGGGGGTGTGTGCGGTTTCCTGGGGCGCTGCTTTCTGCATGGGGGTGTGTGCAGTTCCCTGGAGTCTCACAGCCCCGCCCCCAGCCCCTGTTGGCGCATCCACCTTTCTGTAAAGCTCCCACTGGGGGATTCTGTGGTGGTGGGGGGGGGGCTTCTCACCGTGGAGGTGGGACCCTCCTGTCTGGGCAGGGTCGGGCCACTGTCTGGAGGTCGCGTCCATCTCACCGAGCGTCTGCGGCGTCCACAGGCAAGGCTGCGCTGGTAGCCGGCAGCCGGCAGCAGGACTTGCGCGCCAAGAACAGACTTTTGCCCAGGTTGAACTGTGACCGAGACGGTGTCCCTGCGCTCCTCAGCCGGGTCGCAGCTCCAGGACACAGTTTCCCATGGGGGCCGAAATGATCGAAGCTGCCACCCAGAGGCATGTGTGTGTGTGTGTGTGTGTGTGTGTGTGTGTGGCATGCAGGAGTATGTGTGCTCGTATGCATGTTTATACATGTGCATGTGTGTGTGTGTGCAAATTTGTGTGCGTGTCTGCGTGCATGTGTGAGCATGTGTGTCTGTGTTGAGAGGAACTTTTTTTTTTTTTTGCTTTTCGGGTCACACCTGGCGATGCTCAGGGGTTACTCCTGGCTTTGTACTCAGGATTCTCTCCTGGCAGTGCTCAGGGGACCCTATGGGATGCTGGGAATCGAACCCGGGTCGGCTGCGTGTGAGGCAAACGCCCTACCTGCTGAGAGAGGGACATTCTTGTTTTGTTCTATTTGGGGCACACCTGCTTGTGCTCAGGGTTTACTCCTGGCCCTGAGCTCATGAGTCAGTGCCCGAGGGGCTCAGGAGAACCTCTGGGGTACCAGGGATGAAAGTGGGTTAGCTTCGTCCTTGGAAGCCTTGGGGTGCGTGTGGCCCTTCAATGTCCCCGACTAGCAGGTGGGGGCAGGGGGCAGAGAGAGGCAGTGGCCGGTGCCCAGTCTCCGTGGGGGGTGCATGGCCCGCGCTGCTCACAGGGCCGGCCTGTGGGGCTGAGTCAGAGGCCCAAGTGCTGGCCCGGTGGGGGCGGGGGCCGTGGGTGGCCACCAACGGGTCCAGCCAGGTCGACTCCTCTCTGCCCAGCTGGGGTGAGCGGTGTGGCCACTGGACACCTGGCTCCCTCTTGCCTGTGCCTCTTTCTAGCTGCCCTCTGGCCTCCTGCTGGGCTGTGTCCACCCGGGTCTCCTGAGTGTCCTTTGACTTCCGCTGGTGCCAGCCGGGGCTGCCTCCTCTTCCTTCCCTGCCCACGCACAACCAGCCGCACCCAGGGTCAGCCAGGGACATTCTCTTACACCCGCTCCCGCCTTCCTGCTCTCCCTCCCTCCCTCGGTCTCTCCCTCTCCCTCCTCGCTCCCTCTTCCCCTTCTCTCTCTCTCTCTCCCTCTCCAGATCATTAGGTGCAGACACCAGTCACTGATTACTAAATAGTTCTTAATTTTCCATCTTCCTTCCTTCCTTTTCTCCTTCCTTCCTTCCTCCCTCCCTCCCTCCCTCCCTTCCTTCCTTCCTTCCTTCCTTCCTAGGGGGTCCCACACCCTGCAGTGTTCGGGGCTTACTCCTAGCTCTGTGCTCATGGATCCTACGCGGGAGGGGCCCATGTGTGGTGCTGGGGGCTCGAATCTCCCCGACCTTAAGACCCTCCACTTAGTCACACCTGCAAAGGCCCTTTTGTTCCCGCGACCTGTTCTCCCAGGGCCAAACCCTGCACCCCCTTCCCTCTGACACTCGTTGGGCATTTGCGAGCCTGTGTGAGCGGCCCGTGACTGCCTGGGCTGTTCAGCCGTGGGCACCTGCACTCTGCCAGGGCCTCTGACGAAACCCCTGCCCACGGCCTCCTGCAGACGGATCATAAGGGGGAGTGTTGTTTTTGCCATGTGTATTCTTTTGTGATTATTTCCTTTGCCTTTTGAGTCACCTCCCAACGTTTCTTAGAAGCTTTCCCGGGGTTAGTGTTCAGGGCGGCTGGCGGTGGAGGTCAGCGGTCAGCTCAGTGCCTGCCCCACGCGGGGGCACCAGTTGCCGACCTGTTGACTCCTGGCCTCTCCCTCCCGCTGTCTCCGTGGCCTTGAGAGTCCCACGGGCACCACCCCGGAGGTCTGTGCTCCTTGAGGCCTTCACACCGGAAGTGGCTCTCCAAAGCCCCCGGTAGCCGGTCAGCTGGTCCTATCCGGCTGGAGATACAGTGCAGCGGCCAGGACCCGGGTTCGATTCCCCAGCATCACTGCGTTAAGTTCCCCCAAGCACTGTCTGCGGTGACCCCCGGGCATAGCCAGGATGAGCGCTGAGCAGAGCGGGGTGCTGTCCACCGGGGTGAGGTCCTCACTGCCCGCACTGTGTGTCCTGGGAAATGATGCCCGCGGGTGGTTACTCCACATGCCTGAAGGGGCTGCAGAGACGCGAGAGCCTGGGCTACCGATGGGGGTGTCCGGGTTGCCCACCTCCCCTCGCCCCCAGAGCAGCCAGGCTTCCGCTGCCTCAGTGTCCTCCTCTGCGGGCGGGCCGGGGCCTGCCTCTGGAGCGCACCTGGCACCCACCTGGGGGAGGTGTGGCTGTGCCCCGGGAGCCCGATTGGCCGGGGCGGGCTGGCCCGGCCCCGGGGGCGGGCGGGCCGGGGCCCTAGGACCAGGCTGGCCCGGGCCGGGGCTCAGAGCGCCGCGTCCGGTCCCTGCCATGCGCGCCTTCCAGGAGCCGGGCAGCTGGAGCCTGTCGTTCGTGGGCGCGGGGTTCCTGGGGCTCTACCACGTGGGCGCGTGCCAGTGCCTGCAGGAGCGCGCCCCGGAGCTGCTCCGCGGCGCCCGGCGCCTCTACGGCTCGTCCTCGGGCGCGCTCAACGCCGTGTCGTTGGTCTGTGGCAAGTCGGCGGGTGCGTGGGGCTGCGGGGCGGGCTGGGGGTCGTTGGGCGCCGCGTCCTGCGCCCTGACCGCCCCGGGAGCAGGCGGCGCGCACCCTTGAGCGCGCGCGCAGGTGCGCGCAGGTGCGCGCCGCCTCGGGGGACCCTGCCGCAGCCCCCCGTCACCACCCTCCCCTGCAGAGTTTTGCTGCGAGCGGCTGCTGGGCCTGGTGAAGGAGGTGGAGCGGCTGAGCCTGGGCATCCTGCACCCCGCCTTCTGGCCCGTGGAGCACATCCGCCGGGAGCTGGAGCACCACCTGCCCGCCGACGTGCACATCCGAGCCTCCGAGCGCCTGGGCATCTCGCTCACACCGCTGGCCCGACGGCCAGAACTGCATCATCACCCACTTTGCCAGCCGGGAGGAGGTCATCCAGGTGAGGGGCCTGTCCGCTGCCGGCCCCCCAACCCAGCCCCCCCAGAGCCGGGCCTGTTGATGGGCATCCCCGTGGACCGCCCCCCACGCCCGCCCGTCCCCAGAGCAGCCAGGCTTCCAGCTGTCGGCTCTGGGCACCCGTCCATCTGCGGTGGCGGGGCAGGTGGGGGGACCCTGGAGAAGCCGCTCTCTTCCAGCTGGGTGCCAACCCCGTCCCCCAGTGCTCGGGAAGGGCAGGTGGGGGGACCCTGGAGAAGCCGCTCTCTTCCAGCTGGGGTGCCAACCCCGTCCCCCAGTGCTCGGGAAGGGCAGGTGGGGGGACCCTGGAGAAGCCGCTCTCTTCCAGCTGGGTGCCAACCCCGTCCCCCAGTGCTCGGGAAGGGCAGGTGGGGGGGACCCTGGAGAAGCCGCTCTCTTCCAGCTGGGGTGCCAACCCCGTCCCCCAGTGCTCGGGAAGGGCAGGTGGGGGGACCCTGGAGAAGCCGCTCTCTTCCAGCTGGGGTGCCAACCCCGTCCCCCAGTGCTCGGGAAGGGCAGGTGGGGGGACCCTGGAGAAGCCGCTCTCTTCCAGCTGGGTGCCAACCCCGTCCCCCAGTGCTCGGGAAGGGCAGGTGGGGGGACCCTGGAGAAGCCGCTCTCTTCCAGCTGGGTGCCAACCCCGTCCCCCAGTGCTCGGGACACTGCTTCATTTTCTCTGGTTTTGGGGCCACCCCTGGCGGTGCTCAGGGGACCACAGGCGGGGCTGGGGTCCAAACTGGGCTGAGCTGCATGCAAGACCCTCACCCCCTGTCCTATCCAGCTCCCCCCTTTTGGGTCCCACCCGGCGGTGCTCGGGGGACCCTATGGGATGCCAGGGATCGAACCCAGTTGGCAGCGTGCAAGGCCAACGCCCTCCCTGCTGGGCTATCTCTCCCGCGCTAGCCAGGCCCCTTTTGTAAAATAAAACTGGGGTCCTCCTCCAGGGCCCTGGGACCTGGCTCTCAGCCTCTGGGCTGTACCCCCAGGCCCTCTGGGCACTTGGGGGGGTCGCAGGGCAGTACTCAGTATCTGTTAGGTATCAGGTGCCATTCCAGACCCTGAACCTGTACGAGGAGCGGCATAGGCACCCATCCTGGCCTTCTAGATGCTTCCATCCTAGGGCCGGGGTGCAGATAACAACCACACCTGCCGGGATAAATGCTCAGTCCGGCTAGGGACCAATTGACGGCCACAGCAGAGCGCCAGGGGCTGGGGAGGGGGGCGGGGCCTGGCAAGGGGCGGGGCCTGGCGGACGGGGGCGTGGTCTGCGCGGGGCGGGGCCCGGATAGTGGGCGTGGTCTTAATGGGCGGTGCCTGCCAGGGAGGGAGGGGCCTGTATGGGGGCGTGGTCTGAGGTGCTGGCCAGTCCCTTGCTCAGGGCTGGTCCCCCGGCTCCCGCGAGGCCACTGCCCTGCACAGTGGACTGCGGTGATTTGTCCACCCGTGCGGGGAGCAGGGTCCTCTCCCTGCCCCTCCTAAATCAGGGTGCAGGCCAGTCCCCGCGGGTCCCCGCGGCCCTGGAGCCCAGCGTCCAGTTGGACGAGTTTGCTGGAGACCTTTGGCAGCGTGGCACGCTGAGGCTTGTCCCAGCTGCGCTAACTGGAGTCGCTGGTGGGTGGAGGACGATCCACCCCAGCCCGCGGGGAGGGCCGGGCTTACTACATCAGGGGACCCTCGGACGGTGACCCTGTGGGCAGTGACCACGCCAAGGGGCAGGCCTGACGCTGGGCGCCTGTGTCCAGGAAGCTTGCGGAGCTACAGGTGGCCTCTTGGCCAGGGCACCTGGTGGGGGGCGAGGGGGACAGCCCCAGGCAGCGACTGTCTGCCGGGCGACAGTCTGTGCCGTCCGGGTGGGACGGCAGGGCCCAGGCTCTCGGCCCTTCTTGCTGTGAGCCTGGACGGGCACTCGGGATCCGGCAGGCAGGCCGGGGCCTCATGGCCTGTCCCCTGTCCCCCAGGCCCTCATCTGTACCTTGTACGTCCCTTTCTACTGCGGGGTGATTCCAGCCGAGTTCCGAGGGGAGGTAAGAGGACCTGGGAAGCCCCAGCTGGGGCGGGTGCGCGGGGTGTGGGGGGTCCCTGTTCCTGGGATGGGGGTCTGGGGGCGCATTGGCCCCCCCGAGCTGGCTCCTCCCCTCCACCCCCGCAGCGCTACTTTGACGGGGCTCTGAGCAACAACCTGCCCTATTCGGACTGTGGCCGCACCATCACTGTGTCCCCCTTCTCCGGCACCGTGGACATCTGCCCGCAGAGCCTCTCAGCCAGCATGCACGAGTTCCAGGCCTTCCAGGCCTGCTTCCAGATCTCCTCCAGGAATGTCGAGCGGGGCATCCACGCCCTCCTGCCCCCTAGCCCGGAGGTAGGGGCGGCCCCGGCGGGTTCCCGGGAGGGGGTCTGGGGTCTCCGAGCTGTGGGGGGGCTCTGAGGGTGCAGGCAGGGCGGGGTGGGCTTCTTGTGCTCCTGTGTCGGCAGGTGGTGGCCGACTGCTGCCGGCAAGGCTATCTCGACGCTCTGAGGTTCCTGGAGAGACGTGGTAGGTGGTGCTGCTGTCTCGGGGGGTGGGGGGGTTGGTGGGGGGTCCTCAGCCCGCTCCTCCTCTCCTCCACGTCTGCTCTGTGCACGGCTTGAGAGCCAGAGAGGAGTCATATGGGGGATGTTCGGGGCTGTGGGGGTCCTGCGGGCACTAGGTTCAGCTTGGGAGGGTGGTACAGGCCAGGAGGCCTTCCTGGAGGAGGCGACTGATATGCAGGCTTTCACCTAGTCATGGAAACTCTGGATGCCAGAAAGAAAGATTGTTCTAGAGAGAAGGGAGAAGAGAAGAGCAGAGTCAGGGGACTGAGGCCAGGGGCGCGCGCGCGCGCGCGTGTGTGTGTGTGTGTGTGTGTGTGTGAGAGAGAGAGAGAGAGAAAGAGAGAGACAGAGAGAGACAGAGACAGAGAGACAGACAAAGACAGAGAGAGGCGGGGAGAGAGAGAAAGGGTGGTGTGAGGATGGGAGTGTGAAGTGTGGGTGGATTTGAGCGAGAGTGTGAGCAGGTACGTATGAAAGTGTGGGTGAGTGTGAGTGCACGTGAGTAGGTGTGGGTGAGTGTGAGGGATTGTCAGTGGGTGTGTCAGTGTGAACGGAGTGGGTGTGAGCGTGTGAGTGGGTGTGAGTGTGAGTAGGTGTGAGTGGGTGTGAGTATGAGTGTGTGTGTGAGTGTGAGTGTGAGTGTGAGTGAGCGCGCGTGAGGGGGCAGCGGGTAGCCCCGTCCCAGGAGCTGCAGCCGAGCGTGGCCCTCCCCACGCAGGTCTCACCAAGGAGCCGGTGCTGTGGACCCTGGTGTGTGCGGAGCCCCCGGCCCCGGCTGAGGGGACCCCAGACCCGACGACCGGCCTGTGCATTGACTGGACGGTGCCCAGCGTGTGGGTGTCGGACGTGCCCGACTTCCAGAAACTGTCCCCGAAGCTGGAGGCTGGTACTGCCCTTGGCGCCCCCGAGGGGGCAGGGCGGGGCAGGGCGGGCAGGGTCTCCGCGGGTCTCCTCGGGTCTCTGGGCCTGGGGGCCTGTGAGGCCCGAGGGCCCAGGAAAGCCTGGCCGGTGCCCACAGAGCCGGGAAGGTCTCAGGGAGGCGCGCTGGGGGCTTCTGCGCAGACAATGGGCAGAAACCCTGCACAGAGAGGTTGAGTGACTGGCCCCAGGCTGCTCAGCGACCCCGAAGAGAGAAGACGAGGGTTGAACGTGGGGTTGAAAAAATCACCCTGGTCTCTGCAGCCGCTGGGGGCCACCAGGGAGTGGCATCTCGGGCCTGGTCCCCTGACTCCTCTCACTGGCCCTCTGGGGGACCCTGCGTCCTGGGGCCCCACTGGCCCCCACTGACCAGAGCAGGTCACTGAGGCGCTCGGGAGGGAGGGGCTCTCCGCACTCGTGCCTGGAACCCTCCAGAACCTTCCAGAACCTTCCAGAACCGGCCTGTGCAGAGGCAGCTGGGCTGCGGAGGCTGAGCGGGGGGTCTGGCTCCGCCCCGGCCCTGGGTCTCCCCATGGGGGTGGGCAGCGAGGGGGCGGGGGGGGGAGTCTGGCACGGCGTCTCTCCCCAGCGCTGCAGAAAGCCTGCAGGCGGGACCCCGCGCCCTGGGCCCGCTTCTGCCGCTCGGTGCCCGGGCAGGCGCTCACCTACCTGCTGCTACCGTACACGCTGCCGCTGCAGTACATCTACTTCCGGGGCAAAAGGTGAGGGCCCCGGGGTCGGGGAAGGCTGGTGGTCTTGGGGGTGCCCGAGGTGCCCCACGGGCGGCCCACGGCGGGGGGGGACGACACAGAGTGGGAGGGCCCGGCCGCTGGGCCCAGAGTCTCGGGGGTCCGGGTTGGGGAAGGTCGATGCCCCCCACCCCGAGCCCACCCTGTCCTGTCAGCAGCTAACTCCGGCCTGGGGCGCCGGGTGGGCTGGGCAGCTCACTCACCCCGTCTCGGGGCTGCGCCTGGCCGGAGACCCGGGAAACGGTCCTGGCCAGCCCCGCCTGTGCCCTCCAAACGCAGCACGGCATCCCACGGCCTTGGCCGCAGCTCTCCCTGCCCATACCTGGAAAGGTCACGAGCTGGCACAGCTCAGACCAGGTGCTCCCAGGTCAGGGAAGGCTGCCTGGAGGAAGCAGCTTCTGAGCTGGAGCTGGAAGGATGGGGAAGGGGACAGCAGGCAAAGAGGCGGGGCAGGGGTGGGGAAGGATTTCCTCTTCCCTGGGTGGAAGCTGCATGTGCAAAGGACCTGGGGCAGCTAGAGGGAGGGAATGGGAGCTGCATGTGCAAAGGGCCTGGGGTGGCTAGAAGGAGGGAGCAAGGCTCATTGGAGGAACAGAAAGGAAAAGGGAAGCCCAGTATGACCGGGTCCTCACATCACCCTGGGTCCGGGCTCTGTGAGGCAGGGAGCCTGGCAGGGGCTAGGCACGTGGGGCTCAGTGTTAAGGAAGAGCTTCTGCATAGCACGGGGACTGAGTTCCATCCCTGGCACCACAGAAAAAAAATTTATTTATTTAACTATTTATTTTTTTGCTTTTTGGGTCACACCCGGCGATGCTCAGGGGTTCCTCCTGGCTCTGCACTCAGGAATCACTCCTGGCAGTGCTCAGGGGACCCTATGGGATGCTGGGAATCGAACCCGGGTTGGCCGCGTGCAAGGCAAATGGCCCTACCCACTGTGCTATCTCTCCAGCCCCGAAAAAAAAATTTAAATAAAAAAAAATCTCTGAAAGCTGCATCCCAGGGGCTGGGGCATTAGTGCAGTGAGCCAAAGGGCACCTGCCTTACAGAGCCAAGCTGCGTCCCCAAGCCCACCAGGAGTGACCCTTGAGCCCAGAGCCAGGAGTCAGCCCTGAGCATCGCCGGGTGTGGCCCCCCAAAATAACAACAAATGTTTTGTTTTTTCTTTTTGGGTCACACCCAGTGATGCTCAGGGCTGACGCCTGGCTCTGGGCTCAGGAATCACTCCTGGCGGTGCTCGGGGGACCTGTCTGGGATGCCGGGGATCGAACCCAGGTCGGCCGAGTGCTAGGCAAACGCCTTTTCCCGCTGTGCTCTTGCTCTGGCCCGAGACCTCTTTTTTGTTTTCTTTTTGGGTCCCAACCAGCGATGCACAGGGGCCATTCCTGGCTCTGCCCTCAGGAATCACTCCTGGCTGTGCTCGGGGGACCCTATGGGATGCTGGGAATCGAACCCGGGTCGGGCCGCATGTAAGGCAAACATCCTACCCGCTGTGCCTTCGAGACCTCTCTTAAAGCTACACCCAGGGCTGGAGTGATGGTGCAGTGGCAGGACCCCGCCCTGCACGTGGCTGTCCTGGGCCCTATCCCGGGCACCTGTCACCCCGAGCACTGTGGGCTGTGTCCAGACCAGCGGGCGTTAGGCTCCAGCCCTGGCCAGCTGTGCTCAGAGGCCAGGGCCGTGGGGCGGGGCTGACCCTGTGCCCTGCGGGCAGGAAGTTCAGGTGAGACGCAGCACAGAGTGGGGGGAGAGGGGAGACCCCTCAGCAAGCAGGAACGGGTGCCCAGGAAGGGCCGTGGGGGGGTGGGGCTACTCGCCCTCCTGTGCTCCCCTCAGGAGGCCCCCGCCCCCCGTGGCTCAACCTCAATGTCCCTCCCCCCCAGGCTGGTATTGTGGCTGCCGCAGATGCCCACTGACCTGCGCTGGATCCAGGACCAGCTCCGGAGCGCGGCCGCCCTGGCCTGCACCCAGATGAAGAAACAGCTGCTCGGCCCGGCCAGGTGAGCGGACGCAAGGGGCTGCGGGCACCTCGGCCAGCTGGGCAGCGGCCCTAGGTCAGTACTGGCCCCCTGCCCACCCACGGAGGCCGGCGCTGCCCCTGCTGGACTAGAGAGCCTGCCGCCGGATGGAGCCTTCCTGCTCAGACACGCCCACCAAGATGCCTCCCTAGCCTGGGCGGGGTCTGGTGCATCCCCCCTGACCTGTGCGGGGTCCGACATCCCCCCCAGACGCTCCCCCTGCCCTGTGCGGGGTCTGACACCCCCCAGATGCCCCCTGCCCTGTGCGGGTCTGGGCTGGGGCTGACTGTCCTCCTCTCTGGTCAGCGCTGTCCTATCCACCCCTGGGGCTTTTCCAAGGAAGTCTGCCCAATGCTCTTGGGGTGGGTACCCTAGAACTTTCTACCTCTCCTCCGCGAAGCCGTTGAAGGATCAGGAAGGGGGAATTAGGGCAGCGGGCACCTCAGCCCAGCTCTGAACCCGCTCACGGCGTCTGCGTCCTCCCCAGCCTGCCAGCTGCTGGTCCTCTCCTGCCCGGGTCAGCCCCCGCCGGGGACCACCTGGGCAGGAATGGAGAGACGGGCCTCAGGCCTGCCCGGCTGTGACTGGCTCAGTGGCCCGGCCCGGCCCGGCCCGAGCGTGGCCGACACCTCTCCCAGGTCCCCCTGCTCATCCTCTCCACCTGCGGCTGGGGTCCCCTGGCAAGGGGCTTCTGTCTCAGGCAGGGACCCGGCTACTGTCCCTGTGGGCCATCTCATGGAGAAATCCGGGAGCAGACGTGGGCACACAGGGCAGGCTGTGGACAGCCTCAGGGGGCTGCAGCAGGGAGCTGGGGGTGGGGTCCTCCCCGCAGCCTCTCTCTGTCCTGCACGAGCTCTCAGGGGCCACCCCCACTCCGTCATCTTCTGGCCTCCCATTGGGTCGGGCCCGCAGGACACCCTGACGATGTGGGGTAGAGGTTTTGAAATGCCAGAACCCCAAGTGCGTGTGCTTCCACTGGGAGCACCCAAGCCCTCACATGGCCCCTCTCCTCCCCTCCCCTCTCAGCCCCCCACTCTCTGGGCCCGGAATGGGGGGGCTTCCGGGCCCGTCACTGTATTTCTTGTTCTCAGAGCAGAGCCTCTCACCGAACCCCCGGGAGGCCTTTGGGAGGGGTGGGGTGGAGAGAAAGGGGCGCCGGGAATAACAACCAGCTGCCCACAAGGGGGGTCCGCCCCTCCCTTCCACCCTGTGCATCCTGACCTCGAATCCGGTCATGTCCACCAGCAGGACTCTCGTTGGTGCCCGAAAATCATAACTAACTGCTTTCTGGTGGGATGAGTCGGCGAAGAAAAGGTTTCCAGCCAGTTCTTGCATCTTTAGCGGCGATGATGAACCACTGATGAATGAAACGAGAGGATCCACGAGACTTCCAGAATCTGGAGAGGGGTGGGTGGGAGGGTGTCGACGGAACTGACGTGGCAGTGCTTGATTGTGGGTGATTTCCCTGCATTCCTCCTCCGAAGTTTGTATAGGTTCAGTTTTCCTTAATAAAGACGCAGGACACGCACACAAAAAGGAAACCAGGATGGAACTTTTATTTTATTTATTTATTTAGGGACGATGACACAGTGGGTAGGGCGTTTGCCTTGCACGTGGCCAACCCAGGTTCGATTCCTCTGTCCCTCTCGGGGAGCCCGGCAAGCTCCCGAGAGTATTCCGCCCACACGGCAGAGCCTGGCAAGCTCCCCGTGACGTATTCGATATGCCAAGAACAGTAACAACAAGTTTCACAATGGAGATGTTACTGGTGCCCGCTCAAGCAAATCGATGAACAATGGGAGGACAGTGCTACAGTGCTATTTATTTTATTTATTTATTTACTTTTTGCTTTTTGGGTCACACCTGGCAATGCACAGGGGTTCCTCCTGGCTCTGCACTCAGGAGTTACTCCTGGCGCTGCTCAGGGGACCCTATGGGATGCTGGGAATCGAACCTGGGTCGACCGCGTGCAAAGCCAACGCCCTACCTACAAACGTGCTATCTCTCAAGCCCCCGATATATTTTGTATTGCTTGCAGGATGGGACTTTCAAGCAGGGGATGGGTGTCCCGGTGGTTCTGGGTGATTCTGGTTCTGTGGGCATCAGTCTCCGGTGCGCTGAGTGTTTTCAGCACCACGGACAGCGACCCACATTTCCCGGAGCTGCTCTGGGAGCTTCTGGCTGGAAGATTGTGTGGGCGCCTTTCTTCTCCCTAGCATGAAAGCCACCCAGGGCTGACACCCCTCAGAGAGTGATGAGATTCCTCAGACACTCCGTCCCCCAGCCCCGTGCCCCACCCCAGCGGCCCTGAGGGCTTACTCCCAGGCTCTCTGTTCAGGAATTCCTCCTGGCAGGGCTTGGGGAACCATAAGGGGTCCCTGGGATTGAACCCTGGTGGGTCACGGCCACGGCTAATGCCCTGCCTGGTATAATAAGGCTACAGTTCAGAGTTAGTAGCTGTTTTGGGCAGTTTCCTTGGGATTCTCTAGAAAAGGATTTTCCCCAGGTGTTCATTCAGAAGGAAAAAAAAACAAAACAAAAACAACTATGGAAAAGTTATATGAAGGAACCAGAGTGATCGTACAGCATGTTGGGCATTTGTCTTGGACACGGCTGACCTGGGTTTGTTTCCTGTCACCCCATATGGTCCTCCAAGCCCCCACGAATGATTCCAGAACCCGGGGTAAACTCTGAGTACCACCGAATGTGGCCTCAAAATTTAAAAAGATGTTACAAGTAATACAACTGTAAAGAAATCCCCACTCCCCCCCAAAAAAAATCCATCTTCTAGTTCCCCAAATATGGGAACTGAAAAAGAAATTTAAATAATGCCGTTTGCAACCACACCCCCTAAAGCAGGATTAATCTAAGAAAATTACAGGCAAGATTTGAAGAGTGAAAGCTACAAAACACTCCTGTTTTGTGTAACAGGGAATTAAATTTGCTAGTCTGCCTCCCTGAAAATAGACTGTCTTTCTTGGATTACGGGGTAGGAGCCCTGAGATTAATCTCAAGATTCTTTTTTTGGGGGTCACACCTGGTAGTGCCCAGGGGTTACTCCCGGCTCTGCACTCAGGAATTACTCCTGGTGGTGCTCAGGGGACCCTATGGGATGCTGGGAATCGAACCCGGGTCGGCTGTGTGCAAGGCAAACGCCCTACCTGCTGTGCTATCACTCTGGCCCTGTTCCCGTTTTCCACTGGAAAGTTTACTTAGCGAGTTGCACAGATAATTTTTTTTAATCCTCTCTGTGTAGGAGACGGGCAGTTATTTGAATAGATCAGTTTATTCTATTCTGCTGTCATGGGTCTGGCTCGTGTCCCACGTGGGTCCGCAAGGCACAGACTGTTTTTGATTTAGCTGAAATGCAAACTCCGGTGTCCTTTCCGACCTATCCCCATAACTAAAAAAAGACTTTTAATGTTATTTATTTATTTAATTATTTAATTTTGGCGGGGGGGGGGGGAACATAGCTGGTGGCTGACTCCTCACTCTGTGCTCAGGAATGACTCCTGGCTAGGGTTTCGGGGACACCTGGGATGCCGGGGATCGAACCCGGGTTGGCCTCGAGTGAGGCAGGTGCCCTACCTGCTGTGCTATCACTCCAACCCCAACAACAACAACAATTTAAGCTTCTCTTGTGCGTTCTTTGCTTGACCCTGGAGTTGGTCTTTCTCCAAGAACCCCCAATTTCTTTGAGTGGAAAAGGATTCCGAGGCCCATACTGGGTGTGTCCAGGATTACTGGAACCCAGTGTGTAAAGTCTCATCCGCAGAGATAAGAAACAGACCATTAAAAAAAGCTGCTTTCCGGCCCATACCTCCGCGGGCAGCAGCAGAGCTGAGAGCCTGCCGGGGAGCCGCATCTGAAGCCTCAGCGCCGCTGCCTGGTGCCAGGACCCAGTTGTTCTCAGTAATATCCCTGGCCGCCAGCCTGCAGCGCCCGGCGTCTCCTCCCTCGCCGATGGCCCTCGGGCGGGGGTGGGCAGATACCCGCCCCTCGCCCCCTCCGTCAGCACCCAGGCCTGGAGCCCACCAGTCCCTCAGCGAACAGAGCCGGGCTTGGTGCCCTCCCTCCCCAGAACGCCGCTCCGAGGGGCGCCCGAATCCGCCTTAGACCTCGGTTGCTCCCAAGCGGGGCCGGCCTGAGAGAAACCTTAATTGTGCATTGATTTGACTTCTGGGCCACACCCGGAGGTGCCCAGGGATGCTCTTGGCAGGGCTCCGGGGAGCCTGTGGGATGCCCAGGATGGAATCCGGATGGGCCAGGCGCAAGTCAAGTGCCCCATCCTCCTGCACCGGGGCTCTGGCCCCAGAAACACCAGATTTGGGATGGGAAATGCAGATTTGGGGGAAAGCGCGCGCCTCGAGAGGTCGGGGCTGGGCCCTGGCGTTGCTGGGGCCATCCGGGTGCACATTCTCCCGAGCTCCCCAAGCGGGTTTTTTGCAAAGGGGCCAGGGGAGCCCGGACTGAGGGGAGTCAGGGGCGCCCAGGGAGCCGAGCTCCGCGCGGGGACGAATCCGGAAAGGTGCCGCTCCCCCGGGGGCGGGCGGGGACCCGGGAACGCAGGCGCGGCGCGCGCGCGCGCGGGGGCCCCGGGAGGCCCGTGACGTCACGGGGCGGCGGCGCGGGGCGGGGCCATGACGTCACGCCCGGCGGGCGGCGCCGTGACGTCACGCCTGCGGAGCCGCCGCGCGGCGTGCGGGGCGCGGGGCGCGGGGCGCGGGGCGCGGGCGCGGACGGGCCGGAGCGGGCGGGCGGCATGGCGGAGAGCGAGGCCGAGACGCCCAGCACGCCGGGCGAGTTCGAGAGCAAATACTTCGAGTTCCACGGCGTGCGGCTGCCGCCCTTCTGCCGCGGGAAGATGGAGGAGATCGCCAACTTCCCGGTGCGGCCCAGCGACGTGTGGATCGTCACCTACCCCAAGTCCGGTGAGCGCCGCGCCGCCCCGCCCGCGTAGACGCGGCGCCCCCGCCCGCGTAGACGCGACACCGGCCCGCGTAGACGCGACCCCCGCCCGCGTAGACGCGGCGCCCGCCCGCGTAGACGCGACCTCCCCGCCCGCATAGACGCGACCCCCCCGCCCGCGTAGACGCGACCTCCACGCCTGCATAGACGCGACCTCCCCGCCCGCATAGACGCGACCCCCCCCCGCCCGCGTAGACGCGACCCCCCGGCCCGCGTGGACGCGACCTCCCCACCTGCATAGACGCGAACCTCCCCGCCCGCGTAGACGCGACCCCTCGTCCGTGTAGACGCGACCCCTTCCCCCTCCCCAGCACGCGTAGACGCGACCCCTTCTCCCCCGCGCCCGCATAGACGCGGCACCCGTGCCCGGCGGGGTGGGGGCGGGGGGTCGCCCTCGCCCTCGCCGCCCGCCCACCCGGTGCCCGCCGCAGCGGGGGCGGCGCGCGTTCGGGGCAATCCAGGCCTTTGGAGACGCGCGCGCGCGCGCGCGCACGCTGGTTCCCTGCTGGACAGCGCCCGGCGCGGATCTCCTCCGGAGCCTCCGGGGCCCGACTGTCCGGCGGCGGGCTGTGTGACCTTGGGCACTCACTCAGCCTCTCTGGTTCCGGACCCGCGCGGCCCCCGGGAAGGGGCTGTGTCCAGCCCCGGTTCCTGCCCGGGCCCGGGTGCGGGGGAGGGGTGCCTGGCCGCAGGGCCCGGGCGGGGGGTCAGGCCGGGAGGTGGGGGTCAGGGGGAAGGCGGGGTGCAGCCCCCACGCCCGGGCATCGGGGCTCGCGGGGAAGTGGCCCGGCCAAGGTCACTCAGCCCGCGCGGGCCGGGAGCGCGGGTGGGCACTGCCCCCACTGCTGGCCGCAGACTGGGCCGAGGGGAGCCCGGGCAGCTGCCCTCTGGCCCTCTGGACCCCGCAGCCCGGGCTGTGGTCAGAGCCGGTGCCGGACCCGGCGGGAAGTTTGGGGGCGCCCTGCCCGCGGCTGGCAGGGGAAGGGGAGCTTGGCCCCGTGCGCGCCCCCGGGACGCAGAGGGGCGCAGGGACCCCACGCCCAGGGCACCCTGGGGATGTCCGCGCTGCCCGTGTCGCTCTGGAAGAGAATCTGCAGGTGGCTGGGCTGAAGGTGGGGGTGCGGGGAGGGGCTGTCACACCTGTGAGCACACGGGGCGGCCAGGGCGGCTCCCCGCTGACCAGGGCCCTGTGGCTCCTGCCAGGACCTTTCTGGACCCCTCGGTCAGGGCAGGAGCTGGTGTGGGCACCACCTGGGCGGCACGTGTCCGGCGTGTTGTAAACACGCTCTGAGTGGACAGTCCACGCTTGCTACCCGCCAGCAGCCCTGCTGTCCTCGGCCCCCTGTCCCCGTCCCCCCCCACGCCCGAGCCCCAGTGCTGCCCAGTTGGAGCTGTGTGGGGCCACCCCAGCAGGTTTGCCTCCCGCTGGGCTCTGAGCTCCAGCCTGGCAGTGTCTGGGCACAGGCTGTCCCCTGCGGGGGAGCCGCAGCCAGCACTGGGAGCCCCGGCCTCGCCCAACTCAGGGGTGCTGGGCTGGACCCCACAGGGCAGGGCTGGGCCTTCTCGGCCTGACCTGGGCTGCAGCCCTGACCGTCGCCCTGTGGTCCGCCCCAACGCCTGCCCTGAGGCCTTTCCCTTGGAGGGTCGTCAGCCCCAGGGGACACGCATGGAAGGGTCAGGGGCCACACTTGGGTCCTCGGGAGTCTGGCCTTGTTGACTCTTAGAGGGAGGAGCATGTGTGAGGAGAGTGTGCGTGCAAGTGAGGGAGAGAGAGAGAGAGAGAGAGAGAGAGAGTGTGTGTGAGTGCCAGAGTTTGAGGGAGAGAGAGCGAGAGAGCGAGCGAGAGTGTGAGGGAGACAGTGTGAGAACGAGTGTGTGAGTGCGAGAGTGTGAGGGAGAGTGCAAGTGAGGGAGAGTGAGAGCGAGTGTGTGAGGGGAAGAGTGTGAGTTAGTGTGTGAGTGCGAGGGTCTGAGGGAGAGAGTGTGTGTGAGGAAGACTGTGTGAGGGGGAGTGTGAGTGTGAGGGAAAGTGAGTGTGAAGGAGAGCGTGAGGGAGGGTGTGTGAGGGAGGGAGGGTGTGAGTGTGAGGGAGAGTGTGAGTATGGGTGTGTGTGTGAGTACGCGTCTGCATCTGAAGGTAGGAGTGTGTGGTTGTGCATATGTGAGTGTGTGACAGAGACTCTGCGTATGGCTGAGTATACATGTGTGTGTATGTAAGTGGTTGTAGGTGTGAGTGAATGTGTTTTGAGTGTGTGTGCGTGTTTGAGTGTGAGTGGGTGTGTGTGGGTGTATGAATGTGCATATGTGAGTGTGTGAGTGCGTGCATGAGTGCGCGTGTGAGTGGTTGTGTGGGTGTGTGTGGGGAAGTGTGTGTGTGCATGAGTGCGTGTGTGAGTGGTTGTGTGTGCATGTGTGTATCTCTATGTGTGTGTGTGTGTGTGTGTTGGGGACTCACCCAGGAACCTACTCAGGTCTCTGCAGCTGAGGCAGATAACTCCGGCTGTCCCTCAGGCAGTGCCCTGGGGAGCCTGAAGTTGGGGCCTGGGAGACCCGTGGTGCGGCAGCTCCCAGGGCGGTGCTCCCAAGTGCGGGGTGAGGGCCCAAGCCTGGCGTCTCCTGCATGTGGGGACCCCCCCAACCCCAACCCCTGGGCGGACCAAGTAGGGGGCCTGGAAGCGAGTGTGGGGCTCAGTGCTGTGTGCCCACTTGGGGCGTGGGTGTAGCCCGGCTGCAGGGGCCCGCCCCCTACCCCCCTCCCAGCCTCTGCCCAGCCAACAGCATTGGGGGACTGTTCTAATGGGGTCTCTGCCGGGGGCATATCCTCAGCCTCCACTGGGAGTTTTGCCATGTGTGTCTACGTGGGCTGGAGGGTTTCAGCGGCATCCAAATGGCCAGATTCCTTCTGGCGTGAGTCTACATCGTTGTGGGGCTCCAGCAGTGTCTACACGGCCAGATTCCTTCAGGCGTGTCTACACTGGCTAGAGTGTTTCAGCGGTGTCCATATGGCCAGATTCCTTCTGGCGTGAATCTACACTGGCAGTGGGATTTCAGCAGCGTCTACACGGCCAGGTTCCTTCTGGCGTGTCTACACTGGCTGGAGTGTTTCAGCGGTGTCCACAGGGCCAGATTCCTTCTGGTGTGATTCTACACCGTTTCAGGGATCCAGCAGTGTCTACACGGCCAGATTCCTTCTGGCCTGAGTCTACACTGGCAGTGGGGTTTCAGCAGTGTCTACACGGCCAGGTTCCTTCTGGCCTGAGTCTGCACGGACAGTGGGGTTCCAGTAGGGTCGACACGGCCAGGTTCCTCCTGCTGCGTCTACACTGCGTTCCAGCACGGTGTACCCACCCGGGCAGGTGCCCACCGTGGGTCTGTGGGTGGCCAGGCAGGCGCTGGTGTCCGGGGCCGCGTGCCCCCGGCGGCCGTGGGTGCGGTGGCCCCCGGTCCCGGCCCCGACCCCGGCGCCTGAGCCCGGCCGTCCGCAGGCACGAGCTTGCTGCAGGAGGTGGTCTACCTGGTGAGCCAGGGCGCAGACCCCGACGAGATCGGCCTCATGAACATCGACGAGCAGCTGCCCGTGCTCGAGTACCCCCAGCCCGGCCTGGACATCCTCAAGGTGGGCGGGCGGGGCGGGGGGCTCGGGGCGGGGACTTGGGGTACGGGGGTCCCGGGGTGGGGGAACTCAGGGTGGGGAGGACTTAGGCAGGGGACTCTTGGGGCATGGAGGGGCTCGGGGTCTAGGGGGCCTGGAGTGGGGGGACTTGGGCGTGGGGCACCCGGGGTCTGGGGGAAATCCGGCCACGGGGCAGCCCGAGAGGCGGCGGGGAGACCCCTGGGCGCGGGCGGGGGTCTGTGCCGGGCCCTCGGTGTCAGACGCGCAGACCCGCCCCAGGTCCTGTGGCCTCGGGGCTCCCCCCACCCCCAGCCCCACAGGGCCAGGCGCTGGTCTCGGGGGGGACGGCGAGGGACGTGTGAGGCGGCTGGTCCACCCCTGGGGACGTTCTCGCAGAGGCGAAGGGGTGGGGGTGGGGTGCTGTGCCCCCTGCCGGTGTCCCCTCCCCCTGCTCATGGGTGTGGTTGGACCCCCTGAAGCCCCCCCCCCCGGCCTGACGCCCAGCTCTGACCCCCAGGAGCTGACGTCCCCCCGGCTCATCAAGAGCCACCTCCCCTACCGCTTCCTGCCCTCCGACCTGCACGACGGCGACTCCAAGGTGACCCTCCCTGCCCCTCGCTCGGACCCCACCCGCGCCCCCGCCCGCCCGCCTGTTGCCTGCTCCTGGCCCTTCCTGGTCCCCAGCGTTGGGCGGGGGAGTGGGGGGCCGCCGTGCGCTCAGAGCCGGGGCGTGGGGGCCGGCGCGGGGTGGGCGCTCACGGCCGCCTGCCCGCAGGTCATCTACATGGCCCGCAACCCCAAGGACCTGGTGGTCTCCTACTACCAGTTCCACCGCTCGCTGCGGACCATGAGCTACCGCGGCACCTTCCAGGAGTTCTGCCGGCGCTTCATGAACGACAAGCGTGAGTGCGGGGCGGCCGCGGCCCGGGGGCTGGACAGTGGGTGGCGCTTGGCCCCGGGGGCTGGACAGTGGGCGGCCGTGGGCCTGGGACCTGGAAAGTGGGCGGCCGTGGGCCCGGGGGCTGGACAGTGGGCAGCTATGGGCCTGGGGGCTGGACAGTGGGCAGCTGTGGGCTCAGGGGCTGGACAGTGGGTGACCGTGGGCCCGGGGGCCAGACAGTAGGTAGCCATGGACCTGGGGGCTGGACAGTGGCCCGGCCTGGTGTGCACTCTGTCCCCTTCCGGCACGCAGGGCAGCCGGCTGGGACCCCGGCTCCCGCCGAAGCTCGGTTTGAGGCCCAGGAGGTGGGGACAGTGCTGGCCGCGGGCACTGCTCCACGTCTGCCCAGCTGGGGTCTCCTGGGAACCGCATCACCCACCTCCCTGCACCCCTAGGTGCCCTGTCTCTCTCTCAGGCTCTTCCTGGAAAACACTCGTGTTTCAGTTTTAGGGTTCGTCGTCGTGAGATTGGGTCTGCACACATGCACACACGTGCACACACGCATGCATACACATGCACACGTGTGCGCACACACAGTGTCATGGTGAGGCTGGGAGCAATGCGCTGTCGCCTTGGTTGGTGCCGTGGGGGAAGGATTGAGGGGCTGGGGCAGTGGGTGGCACTTGTCTTGTAGGTGACCATCCTGGGTTCAATCCCGGGCACCCGATGTGGCTCCCTGAGCACTGCCAGGAGTGAGCCTCAAGCACAGAGCCAGGAGTCAGGTCTGAGCACAGAGTCAAGAGTCAGCCCTGAGCACAGAGCCAGGAGTCAGCCCTGAGCACAGAACCAGGAGTCAGGCCTGAGCACAGAGATGGGAGTCAGCCCCGAGCACAGAGCCCAGAGTCAGTCCTGAGCACAGAGCCAGGAGTCAGCCCCCAGCACAGAGCCAGGAGTCAGCCCCGAGCACAGAGCCAGGAGTCAGCCCCGAGCACGTCCGGGAGCGACTCAAAACAACAACAAAACAAAGGGCTGCGGTGGGTGGATTCGGGGGTCGGGCTCCGCGTGGGGGGGCTGTGGGGAGCCCTTCTGGAAGCTTCCCCAGAAGTTTTCATCTTCCCTTGGGGGAGGGGCCCCTGCTAGCGCTCCCGTCCCGTGTCCCCGCAGTGGGCTACGGCTCCTGGTTCGAGCACGTGCAGGAGTTCTGGGAGCACCGCACCGACTCCAACGTGCTGTTCCTCAAGTACGAAGACATGCACCGGGTGAGAGCCCACCCGCGGGTGCGCCGCGCCCCGCCCCGGGATCGCCCCGCCCCGCCCCGCCCCGCCCCGCCCTGCGCGGCCGCGGCCTGACCCCCACCCCTGGGCCCTCTGCGGCAGCTTGAGGCAGGGCCCAGGTCTTTCAAAGGCGGGTTTGCCTTCTGGACCCCCCCCCCCTTTCCCTGTCACGTGACCCAAATGGGGGGGAACCGCTCAGAGCTGTGAGCAGCACCCCATGCACACACCTGCACACACACATGCGTCCAGGTACACGCACACGCACACACGGGCCACCCCCACGCGCACAGACGTGTGCATGCACCCACAGGTGCAGACGCATGCATGCTCCCACGGGCCCGCCCCCACAGGCGCACACCTGCCTGCACACACCTGTACGCCAACCCCCTGCACCCGTGCCCGCGCCACCCGTCCCTGGGCCTGTAGGGGAGCGGTGCCTGGCGTGGCCTCCAGGGGGCGCCCTCGCTCCGGGCCTGTGCCGGGGGCGGGCCGGGGGGCTTCCCGGGGATCCCGGGGGGGGCTTCCTTGCACCCTCCCACTGGCCTCCACCGCAGCCCCCGTGCCTGCCCCCTGCCCCCCAGCCCTCACGCCGCGTCCCCCGCCCCCGCCCGGCCGGGACAGCCGCACCCTGACGCCCCCCGCCCCCGTGCTCTCGCCCCCGCCCCCAGGACCTGGTGACCTTGGTGGAGCAGCTGGCCCGGTTCCTGGGGGTGGCGTGTGACAAGGCGCAGCTGGAGTCGCTGACCGAGCACTGCCACCAGCTGGTGGACCAGTGCTGCAACGCCGAGGCCCTGCCGGTGGGCCGGGGTACGCTCGCCCCCGCCCCGCCCCGCCCCGCCCCCGCCGCGGGCCCCCCGGACGAGCTTAGGACGAGCTGGGGTGCCCCCGCCCGAGACCCCGCCCCACCCACGCGGGCCGCTGGGGGCTCCGGCGCTGCTCCAGCCTCGGGGTGCGGGGGCTGGGGCAGCTTGAGGGGTGGGCTGGGGGGGGTCTCTGCACGCAGCTGCCCGCGTCCCGGGGCGTCCCGGACTGAAGCTGCTTGCTGGGGGTTGGGGGCGCGGGGTGCCCACCCAAGCCAGCGCCCCGGCCCCCAGGCTGGAGGTTCGGAGCGGTCTCTGGCGGGGAGGGCGCTCGAGGGGCGAGCTGGGACCCCCACCCCGCCGCCGGCCAGGCCGACCAGGATGCCCCGCCCCGCCCCCCGCCGCCTTTTTAACGTTGATTTGCTCTTTTTCAGTTTTGCTTTGCCGCGTTTTGTTGCTCATGGCCGGGGTGCCCGTCGCGCCTCCCGATGTCTCTGCCCGTCATTGTCACCTCGGTTTGGCTTTTGTGTCCGGTCTCGGGTTCGATTTTCTGTTGCACGTGGCCGCTCGCAAGGAACACCCGCCTGCGCGCGGGGGGCGCGGGTGGGCCTCGGTGGCGCCGCCCTCCCGCCCCCAGCCCGCCCGCGGGGGCCCCTCGCCAGCTCTCGGGACCCCCACCCGCCCGGCCAGATAACCACGAGACCCCACTGAGGCAGTTCAGGGGGGTCGCGGGTCTGGAGTGGCCAGTGGCTGGTGTCAGCGCATCCACGTGGGCCCCCCAGCTGGTCCCCTCGTCTTGGGGTGCAGAGGCTCCCCCTTAGCCCCACTGCGGGGTCCCCGCACACTGTTGTGGCTTCAGTGAGCTGTGCGTCCGGGCTGGGGGTGCGGGTGGGGGGCGCCCCAGGCAGTGGTGGGACCGCTCAGAGATGTGCTCCCGGACGGGGGTTGGGGTCCCCACGCTCAGCATCTTCCTGGCCGCCCAGCGTGGACACAGGGCAGGACGCAGCCCGCAGGCCTCAGCTTCCCAGCCCCCACCTCCAGTAGACAGGACAGGGACACCGGGCCAGCCAGAATGGGTCTGGCGTCTTGGGGTCCCCTTGGGTCTGCTTCTGTGGCTTTCGGTCTGGGGGCGGGGTTCTGTCCGTGGGCGTGGCCTTGTTCTCGGGGGCGGAGCTCTGCCCGGGGCGTGGCCTTGTCTTCAGGGGCGGGGTTTGTCTAGCAGGACTCCGCCCGTGGGCGTGGCCTCATGCTCAGGGGCGGGGTGTGTCTGGGGTGGGGCCTTGCCCATGGGCGTGACCTCATGCTCAGGGGCGGGGTTTGAGTTTAGGGGTGGAGCTTGTGGGCGTGGCCTCACGCTCAGGGGCGGGGCGGGGCGCTGCCTATGGGCGTGACCTCATGCTCAGGGGCGGGGTTTGAGTTTAGGGGTGGGGCACGTGGGCGTGGCCTCGAGCTCTGGGGCGGGGCTTGCGTCTGGGGGCGGGGCCTACTCAGGTCCAGCATCCTCTGTTGCAGGCCGCGTGGGGCTCTGGAAGGACATCTTCACCGTGTCCATGAACGAGAAGTTCGACCTGGTGTACAAGCAGAAGATGGGCAAGTGCGACGTGGCCTTCGACTTCTGCTTGTAGGCGCCGCCGCGCCCCTGCATGCCCGCCCATGCTCCGCTCGCCCCCGTGTCCTGTGCGCACCTGTCACTGTGGACACGCCGGCCACTGCCCCGGGTCGCAGGAGGGCCCGGGAGGCGGCGGCGGTGGCCTCCAGCTCTGCTCCCCAGCGGGTGCGGGTGGCCCGCGCGCGTGTCCGTGCCCACCGCGAACGCCCGTCTCAGCCCCTCGGCACTGCTGGGACCTCAGCGCTTTGCACTGGAAACCTGAATAAATGTCCGTCAACCAAACTCGCGCTCCTTTCCAGGGCGGGCTCAGGGTGCGCAGGGGACCCGACGGGGCAGGGCGCGCGGGGGGCTCCTGGGTGCAGAGCGCGCAGTGGGGGTTCCTGGGGTGCAGGGTGCACACAGTAGGGGCTCCTGGCGTGCAGGGTGCATAGGGGGACTCCTGGGGTGCAGCGCGCGCATGGGGGTTCCTGGGGTGCAGGGCGCACGGGGCATCCTGGGGTGCAGGGCGCGCAGGGGGGCTTTTGAGGTTCAGGGCGTGCAGGGGGCTCTTGGGTTCAGGGCGCACAGGGGCACTCTTGAGGTTCAGGGTGCCCAGGGGGGGCTCCTGGGGTTCAGGGCGCTCAGGGGGCTCCTGGGTGCAGGGGGCTGCTGGGGTGCAGGGTGAGCAGGGGTTACCTGGCGGGGCCAGGGCACGCAGAGGGAATCTGGCAGGCACAGGGCAAGAAGGGGGACAAAAGGAGAGGCAGGTGGGCGGAGGGAGGGGACAAGTGCCACACTGGTCTAATCCTGCGCTGCACCCTTGGGGCTAGCTGGGAGGCACCCGACCCCATTCAGCAGCGGCTGGGCAGGCTAGTGACTCGTGCCGAGGGCAGCAGACCGAAAGGGGGACGTGGGCGTCCCACGCAGTGCGGGTCCTGGGAAGGCGCCCGTCACGCAGCTGGCCCGCCCCCACCCGCCTAGGTGCCCACAGCGCTGCGTCATCCACCAATCTCTGCCTGGCGGCGCCCCCGGTGCTGGCTGGCACCAGATGTCTGCGCTGCTGTCCTGGAATCCGTCCCGTGGCCGTTGATGCAGGGAGCCGGTGCTCTATTAAAAGCTGTCTTGGCGGGCGCAAATGAGTTGAAAGAAAGAAGTACCGCACCCAAAGGTGCACTTTCTCCTCCTTGGGAGTGGGCGCCCCAAGACCCTGTGCCAGGCCGTGCATCGGTGGGGCGTGGGGAGGCAGCTGGATAGGGGACATCTGCAGCCCACCACCCCCCTGCAGTTTCCTCAGAAAATGTGAGTCGGTTGGCAATTCCGGGGGTGGGGCAAATTCAGTACAGTGGGGGCTTGGGGGCCTCCTGGCTCTGCCTGGGAACCAGGGGCTGTTTGCTCGGGTGCCCCAGCAGAGGGGGAGCAAGCCCAACACCCACCTCCCCCTCGCTGTGCTCTCCGGGGGTCCCCCCCACTAACAGGATCACACCCACCCAGTTTTCAGTCCCTGTTTTTTTTGCTCAGAAGACCCCTGACATCTCCCACCCTGGTGTCTCCACTGCTCGGGGGCAGCAGGGGAGATAGAGATATGGCGCCTTTACACACACACACACACACACACACACACACACATGCACGCACACGCACATGCTTCCTGAGGCCACCCCCTTCCACCTTCCTTGGGGTTGGTCAAGAAGTGAGCTGGGGGGCTGGAGCATTAGCACAGCGGGTAGGGCATTTGTCCTTGCATGCGGCCAACCCAGGTTCGATTCCCAGCATCCCATAGGGTCCCCTGAGCACCGCCAGAAGTAATTCCTGAGTGCAGGAACCAGGAGTAACCCCTGTGCATCGTCGGGTGTGACCCAAAAAGGAAAAAAAAAGTGAGCTGGGAAAAACTGGACAGAGGTGCAGCCCTGGGACATTGTATAGAACTCTGCCTGGGCATAGATACAGCAGTGTGTATCACGGTGCTTAAGACTGAAAATTTTAAAAAATGCATGTGTTTGGGTGCATATGCTGCCTGAGCACATGTGTCGCCCGCATCTCCCCTCTTGAGATGTGTACGTTCATGTTTTCATGTCTAATGCTGGGATATGTGTAGGGGCGCGCTCCGCCCTTGGAGAAGCCCGGGCTCCCTTTTGAATAGGTTACTCTCTACTCTCTCTTTCTCTCCCTCCTTCCCTTCAAAGCCTCCAAATAAAAGCTGTGTAATTAAAAAAATACATATATATATTTATGTGTTTGGGCTATGCCTCGCTGTGCTCTGGGCTGACTCCTGGATCTGTGTTCAGGGCTTGCTCCTGGCTCTGTGCTCAGGGCTGGCTCCTGGCTCTGTGCTCAGGGCTGACTCCTGGCTCTGTGCTCAGGGCTTGCTCCTGGCTCTGTGCTCGGGGCTGACTCCTGGCTCTGTGCTCAGGGCTCATTCCTGTCTGTCCTCAGGAATCACTCCTGGCAGGCTTGCGACTCTATGCGTTGCTCTGGATCAAACCTGGATTGGCTGCTTGGGTGCGTGCAAAGCAGGTGCTGTACTTGCTAAACCGTCTCACCGACTCCCGTTTTAAAGGATGGGCAGTAAAGTGCCAAGGTGGCACCCCCTGGACACTGCTGGCCTCCCGGGCTCTGCCACCGTCCACTTGGCTGTCTTGTCCCTTCCCCAGCACTAGGGGGCGCTGGGCTCCCGGGAAGCACCGTCAAGACTATTTCTCTGACCGCTGGCTGGCTTCTTGCGAACTTGGGGGGCAGAAGGCATAATTCCGTTGGCAGTTCCCTGGCATCTCAGGGGTGCTAGGACAGACAGGATGAGTGAAGGGGCGTCCCCAAAGCCGGTGGATCTTGAGAGGGGGTTATTCCATGAGGGGTGACCCCCCAGGAGAGGGTGCCGGTGTCCTTGGCTTAAATGAGAAGCGGCCTGTTCAGACCTTTCTTTCTGAGGGGTCCGTCCCTGGGAGGCTGAGCAGGGCCTGTTTCTGCCCAGGAAAGCAGGACACGGCTCCTGTCAGGTAATCAACACATGCTTGTTACCTAACTAAAGGCAAATTAAATGCTAAGCGGCGCTAATTACAAGCTGTTTCCAGCTCGGGATTGCTGGCTTTGCTGGTGGCCAGGTGGAAGACGAGACTGTCTGGTGTAAGTGCGTCTTCCTGCATTGTTCTGAGCGCTGCAATCTGGGCCCACTGGGGAGGTGGGGTGGGGGTGGGGCGGGCTGTGCTCCTTAAAGTCCCAAACGCCCGCGCTGCACTCGGCTGCGCTCACACGGGTCACCGCTGAGCCCCGGCGGGCACTACTGGCTTGTGATCCTGGTTTCCATCCAGGAGACCACGACATCCCCTCCAAAAAATTTTATTTTTTAAATTTTTAAAAATTTTTTTGCTTTTTGGGTCACACCTGGCAATGCACAGGGGTTACTCCTGGCTCTGCACTCAGGAGTTACTCCTGGGCGGTGCTCAGGGGACCATATGGGATGCTGGGAATCGAACCCGGGTTGGCCACGTGCAAGGCAAACACCCTACCCGCTGTGCTATCTCTCCAGCCCCACCTCCAAAAAATTTTAAAAAAATTATAAACCATTTAGGAGGTTGGAGTGATAGTAAACAATTTAGGGGCACTTGTCTTGCACGTGGCTGTCTTGGGTTTGATCCCCGGCCTCCCCTATGGTCCCCTGAACCCCACCAAGAGTGATCCCTGAGCACCGCCGGGTGTGACCTAGGCATCCCATTATAATAAAGTGTGCAATTTCATTTCATTTCTTTTTCTTTTTTCTTTTTTTTTTTTTTTTGCTTTTTGGGTCACACCCGGCGATGCTCAGGGGTTCCTCCTGGCTCATGCACTCAGGAATCACTCCTGGCGGTGCTCAAGGGACCATGTGGGATGCTGGGAATTGAACTCGGGTTGGCCGCGTGCAAGACAAACGCCCTCCCCGCTGTGCTACCGTCCCACCAGCAAGAACGGACTCGCGTCCTGCGGGGTCCCTGCACTGTCTCCGCCTCTTGCTGCATTTTGTGAATTACTCCTGGCAGTGCTCCAGGGACCCTATGGGATGCTGGGACTCGAACCCGGGTCGGCCGCGTGCAAGGCAAACATAGCCCTGCCTGCTATGCTATCGCTGCAGCCCCAGCACTTCACGCTTTGGGGGTTAATCAGCGCCTGCTGTGGGGGCTCTCCGTTGAGCATCGCCTCGTGGAGGGGCGTGACATCATCGCGCGCCGGACGCCCCGAGGTTCCTCCCCGGAGTGGCCGCTGGGGGGCGCGCGCCGCCGTCCCTCCCTGCAGCCTGCGGGGTCGAGCCTGGACAGCGACTCGCTCTGGACAGCGTGGGAGCAGCTGGGACCCGCTTCTCCCGCTGGGAGCGGTCCCGGTTTCACACCCAAAGCAGAGCCCTGCCAGCGGGGGAGGGAGTGTGATGTGGAGTGTGGCTCCGGCTGTGAGAAAAAGGCTTGGGGACCCCTCCAAGTCTTTTTTTTTTTTTTTTTTGCTTTTTGGGTCACGCCTGGCAATGCACAGGGGTTACTTCTGGCTCTGCACTCAGGAATCACTCCTGGCGGTGTTGGAGGGACCCTATGGGATGCCGGGGATCGAACCCGGGTCGGCCGCATGCAAGGCAAACGCCCTACCCGCTGTGTGCTACTGTTCCAGTTCCCCCCCTCCCCCCACTCCAAGTCTTGACCTTAGAATGACCACAGTGCCGGGCAGTTCTGTCCCACCCGTCCAGCCTGAAGAATGGAGGGGCTGGACCTTCATGCCAGCCTCTCCTCCAGCAGCTGTGACCCCCATCCCGGAAAAGGTCTCAGCCCGATCATCCTAGTACCTGCCCCTCCTCCGGCCCTGGAATCTTGGGGGGAGCCATACTGATGCAGGGGTGACCGCCCCTCCATCTCCCACAGTGGCAACGTGGCCCTAAGGACCAGATTGGCTACGGTCAGCCTTGGCCAGCCTGGCCCTTTCGCCCAGCCCAGGGGCAGGTGTGTCAGTGCTTCCTGCTCCCTCGGTGGGGCAGGTGGGACCCTGAAGATGAGCTCAGGAAGAGATCTGGGGGGACTGGGGGCCCTGCAAGGGCTCCAGGGGCTGGTCAGGACCTCGGAGAGCTGAGCACAGATGGCATCAGGTGGCCCTGGGGACGGCTGGAAGCTGCTATGAGCCCTGATGCCTAAGGGTTGCCCAGAGGGACGCTCGCCGGTGGATGCTTCCAGGAGCAGACCGGAAACCCCCTGAGAGTCTTTTAGCTGGGAGGAGTGGTCGTCAGGGCTGCTGGCTCTTCAGAGGGCCGAGAGGAAGGCTGGGTGGAGCCCCACCTTCTGCTCCAGAGCGCCTGG